AGGAGGTACCGGTTGCTTGGGAGGCCAAGCGGCCTGGAAGTCACCGCCCAAGAGGCAAAGCAGGCCGCTATATCTTCGGGCCGGGCGGAGAGTCCGACCTCTTTTTCGGTGTGCAAGGTAGGCGACACACTGGTGGAGCGCTGGCTGGAGTAGCGCTATGCTGGAGCTGCTAGGGAGGAAGGAGAAGGACACGAGGGAGGAAGAAGGAAGGAGAGGGGGAGGAGCGCCAGGGGTACTTACCTGGCTATGGTGGCAGCCATCTTCATCACCTTGGTGGGTGCTGCAGCAGGGAGTCCCCAACTGGGGAGAGCCGCACCAAGAAGCTTCAAGGCAGGGTTGGGCATGCCGGCCTGAGCTAGAGCAGCCATAACTGCTTTGGGTTGTGCTTTGGGCATCTGGGCAAGGCCTAGTAGTCCGCCATAGCCTCGGCCTATGAGGGTGAAGAGTGGGGGAGGCGGCCATGGCTATGGTGGACCTCAAGTGATACCTNTCTGGGCAAGGCCTAGTAGTCCGCCATAGCCTCGGCCTATGAGGGTGAAGAGTGGGGGAGGCGGCCATGGCTATGGTGGACCTCAAGTGATACCTACAGTAGAAGAGGGACTCAGACATTGATTCTGGATCAGCCATTTATCATTGTATTATTATTTCTTGTATGAATAAGAGAAGGGGGAGATAAGGAGGAGGAGATTGTTGGGCGAAGAAGAAGTCTTTGCTGGTGTACATCTTTTTCTTCCTCTTTCTTACTTATTCTTCTTCTAATCCTCTCTCTCTCCTCTCAAGGGGGAGATGAGGAGGAGGAGATTGTTGGGCGAAGAAGAAAACATACATCTTCTTCTTCCTCTTTCTTACTTATTCTTCTTCTTCTAATCCTCTCTCTCTCCTCTCAAGTCTATTCATTTCTTTCTGCAATTGGACAACATTGTACTTTCTGATGGATGTTTATCTCGAAATTGGCCAGGATCATAACATTGGAGCTGGTTCGAGATTGCCGCTTACCTGGTGCTGGCGACATTGTTGCTTGGTGCACTGAGGGTGCTTTTGTGCAGTAAGGATACTTGGGCGCTGGCTTGAAATAGCGGGGTCTAGGTAGAGCGGCTGGCCGGAGGTGGCACTGCATTGCGTTGTGGGTGGTACCAAGGCTATGACCGATCATCGAAATGCACGTCGGCTCAATTGGTGAGAAATTTGTGGTTGGGGGCAGCTATCTCCAGGTACGTTGTTCCCTTACCTTATCTACCCTCTCAATCTCTTCTTACCGTGAGAAAGTGAGTCCAACCTTGAGTGTCCTTTTGTTGGTGTGAGGAGTCGTGAGTGCTCTACCTCGAGAGACGACATTCTTCCCGGTGGCATCTGGGAGGAGAGGGCGGTGCCTATTAAGGGCCGTGGCCGAAGCACGGGTCACGGTCACCATGCCAACCCATGGGAGTAGTACACGCAGGCCATGCTGCTTTGTCCTTTGAGGCTCTTTGCTGCGGTGATAGAAGGGGTGTGTGGACTGACCAGTCCTTTGCAGACGCTATCCAGACCGTCTATAAACATTTCTGGCGGGTGTCTGATTTGTCCACTGGTTGTGATCGCCGTCCTGATTGCGACGTCAAATAATTCCTGAGGACCTTAAACTGCCTCCTTATCAGCCAGATCAATCAAACGTAAGGCTCATTGCACTCGAGGGTAAAGAACGGGCAATGCTGGTCATAAGCGTACACCTTGGGCACAGGGGCCGGCCGCTAATGCACACCTTAGACACTGTCGCTCGATGATGCCTACAAACACGTTGGATACAGGGGAGGAAGATTCCAATTGAGACTTAATTGTCAGACACAATTATACCCATTGTGCATACATCTGCTCACTTAGTCTATTTTTATTTTGATTAGTTGGTTGATAGACTGTTGACACCTCACAGACAGCCTAGAGTAGGATTGCAATGTTCTACCATAGTCAATTCATTTCAAAGCTTCTGTGAGAAACTAATCAGAGTAGGTTTAGACTATGCGTTCGGCCAGCGTAAATGTTGTTGATACCGCTTGAACGGTAGTCTAGGTAAATCGTCGGATATTTATTTTAATTTTATTTATTCTTAGAACCGGTCAGACGCATGTTGCGGTAGGTTCCAAAGTGGACACAGAGTCTGCCTAGCTGATGAGTGGATCGGAAGGTGGTGAAGGTACAGCTAACGACCGAAGGCAAACTAGGCGTGATACACTTAGAGTAAGTCCAAAAAAAAAAACAAAGAAAAAAGAGTACCTGTAGTGTTCCAGGTCCTGCCACCAGAAGACGAGAGGAGGCTAATGGTTGAAGCAAGGGCCCGTAATCTTGAGACTGTGAGGGAAGCTGCGGCAGCCGTAGAGAGGACATTAGCAGCAGCAGCAGCTAGCGCTGTAGCGAGGACTACATCTGCGGCAACATCTGAGTTAACCTTCTCCGGTTTTCCGTTTGGAATGCTGGACACAACCAGTCAGTCCATCTCCAGTACGTTAGGGTCTAGAACCAGTCAGATGGCGGGCTTGCAGTCCAGCTCGCCGCCTCCACGCACCAGGGAGCAGATGGAACTCCAGCAAGTAGAGAGGATCCGCTTAAGGCTAGAGGAGGAACTTAAAGAGGCTACTAAAAGAGAGAATGCAATTAGGAATAGAAGTGCCAAACTTGAGGGTAGGGCGGCAGACAAAGCTGCTTTAGAGGGGTTAGATGAATCGACACTGGACAATAACGTGAAGATTGTCAAGGCGAGCATCCTGTCCATGCATGCATACATGGACAACAAACTGGACGCTACCCAGGACACCCTAGACCAGATCTTGAATGCCATGTACAGACCAGGAGTCAGGCCAGCAGTTTTGCCATCGCTGCCATTTTGGGCGATGACAGACCCGTATCCGCCTCAATCTGGTACCATACCCAGTGGTACTTCAGCAACAGCTTTATCTCAGAATGTTGCCTCTTCTCATCTTCTAGTCCAACGGTTGGTACTACACCTCAGCCGCCACTTGTCTCACCGGTGGGACATCAACAACCATGGTACCCCAAAACCCCATTGAACTTACCCTCCACCTTCTAAGGTGATATAAGGAGGAGGAGCTCTCGACACCTGGTTGAAAATGATTCCAGTGTGGGTAAGGCCGAAGAGGACGTTAGTAGAGGAGGAAGTGATAACTGCAGCATCCTACTTAGAGGGATCAGCAGCTCGCTGGCTAAAAGGATTAGTAGTATCAAAGGGATCCGGCAGGAACATGGGTGACTGGGCAGACCCATACCCTGGAGAGCTTTATGGACTTGGTGGAAGCGCGAAGGCACAACCCATAGCATGCATAGATTGCCACTGGTGGGTTGTTGAAACTTGATGTTAAAAAGTACAGGTCCGTGCGCAAACTCACCTCTACCATAGAGCGTTTGATTGTCGTCCCTGGGGTACAATATAATCCACAGGTCTTGTTGACCATGTTCTCGAGGTGTCTTCCCACCAACATCAAGAACTTGCTAGCCAGCTAGGCTCGACTAGAGTATCACACGTTTGAGACCTTTAGCAAGAAGGCCTTGGATTTGGAGGCTACGCTAGGAGGTGCTCTGACATTTTACGGACGGAAGAAAGAAGACGAGTCCACAAGAGTGGAAGAAAAAGGGGAGTCGATTGATGATGGTCGAGGCCGATGGTACTCGGACCGAGATCGAGGATTTCTCAGACCCGTGGACAGTACAAAGTTAGACAATGAGGATAGTGCTGAGGGTAGCAACCTCGCTGCAGTAGTAAAAGGAAAGGCAGGAGGCCGCGGCAAGGGCGGTCAACAGAGGAGTCAGGGGCAAACCCTCAACCCGAACAAGATCGCAGCTTGGGTTCGAACGGGTTTGGATCAACGGGTGTGGCGGGACCATTATTCACGGGGTGCTTGCATCAACTGCGGCGAGTATGACCATCAACAGTTCAAATGCAAGATCACACAAGGTACCGCAGAAGATACCACCTAAGGGTGGGGTTCCCTTCTCCCAAGGCGGGACTCCCCGAGCTCTAGCTCGGGAAACACCTAGGGCCAGTAGAAGTTGTAGCTGGTTCTACTCTCATTGAAGCGGGTGATGTACCCTCACCGTTTCAATAGTCGGCCGAAGCTATTGACTTCTTAGTCACCCCGCAGACGCATCATGACCCATCGATACTCTGTTCGTTCGATGTGTTTGAGGCCTTAAAGGACCTACAAAGTGAGTGGTCGGCAAGGGACCCTCATGAGTCCTGGGTGACACTAAGTCGAGGTCCTAGAGGGGAGCACTTCGTTGTGGAAGTTGGTGTAGGTGGCCACAAGTGCGGTGCCTTCACAGACATCGGCTCCACGCGAAACTTTATCATCGCCTTAGTAGACCGGTAGCATCTACTCTGACCAACAAAGAGCGCATGTTGGTGGAGGACTACGTTAAGGACGTGGTCTGCACTTTCTCCTATGCAGGAGGGGAACTTAATCATAAGATTTCGTTCTTGGTTAGCGACGATCTACCATTTGACATGATGTTAGGTATGTGCTACCTTGCGGTTGCCAAGCCCTAATTTGACTGGGACAAGAAAGTGTTGAAGCATGAGCTGCCTAATGGGAGGACCGTTAGACTAGCTAAATATAAGGTTAGTAAATTAATTGACTTCTACGGGTGTTTGTGCGCATCGACCTTCTATAATTACTATAAACAGAACCAAGAGGTGGGTATGTACCTGGTCTTTATTTCTGAGAAAGGGGAGACCGTTAAATCACCCCCAGAGATAGAGAGTGTCGTTGCTAAGTACCCTGATTGGTTTGAGGAGTCCATAGGTGTCGTAGATAGGGAGGTTGTCCATGCCATAGAAATCATCCCTGGGAGCAAGATACCCAAAGGGAGAATCTATAGGATGGCTCCGGCTGAGTTGGACGAGCTTCGGCGGCAACTGAAAGAGCTCACAGAAAAGGGTTGGATACGGCCTAGCATCTCCCCCTTCGGCTCATCAGTTCTATTCATACCGAAGAAAGGGGGATCACTGTGGATGTGCATTGATTACAGGGGTTTCAATGCCTAGCATCTCCCCCTTCGGCTCATCGTAAAGAACGCAGAGCCCCTACCGCGCATCGATGATCAACTGGATAGGGTGCAGGGATGTAAGTACGTCACCAAGATAGACTTGAAGTCCGGCGACCATCAAATTGCCATTAGACCGGAAGACCAGCACAAAACCGCATTTCAGACCAGGTACGATCTGTACGAGTTTGTCATGATGCCTTTCGGCCTTTGCAATGTGTCGGGTACATTCCAACACGCCATGAACATGATCTTCCATGACTACTTGGATAAGTTTATCGTCGTGTACCTCGACGACATTCTTATCTTCAGTAGGACAGTTGAGGAGCATGCTCAACATGTAGACAAAGTCCTTTCTCTCCTCCGACAACACAAGTATAAGATAAATTTAGAGAAATGCGAGTTTGGTCGCACTAAAATCTTGTACTTGGGTCATGAAGTATCCGCGGAAGGGATTAGGCCAGAAGATGCGAAGGTGGCTAGCATTAGAGACTGACTACGACCCCAGTTTGTGACCGAGGTCAAATCTTTCTTGGGGATGTGTTGTTATTACCGCAATTGTGTACAAAACTATAGTACGATCGCATCTCCCTTGACTGATTTAACGCGCCTTGACACTCCATGGGAATGGACAGACGCATGTGAGGCTGCTTTCAAAAGATTGAAGCATGCTCTTACACATCATGAGGTTCTCATGGTTCCTGATCCTCAAAGGCCATTTGTAGTGACCATTGGCGCAATGTTGGCTCAATAGGAAGGGAAAAAGTTAAGGCCGATCGAGTATATGAGTAAAAAGAAGCCATCCAAGAAATTGGCGAAGTCCACCCATGAAAGGGAACTCTACGTCCTCTACAAGGCACTTGTCCACTGGAGGCACTATCTGTTGGGAGGATTCTTCTATTTGAGGACTGACCATCAGACACTCAAGTGGATCAAGACACAACCTGTTCTCTCTGACACACTCAAATGCTGGATTGAAGTCATAGATCAGTATGACTTCAAGCTAGATTACGTGAATGGAGAGTATAACAAGGTTGCTGATGCATTATCACGTAGGGCAGACTGCCTGGGTGCGCTGATTACCGAATTTGGCTTATCGGACAGTGTAACTCGATCCTTGGTGGAAGCCTACAAGGAAGACCCTGCAACGATGGACATCATCCACAAACTTGAGGCCCAGGACAAGGCCACAACTGATGAGTTTGTGATGGTGGATGGGTTGGTCTTTCTTGAGAAGGCAGGCTTCAAGAGACTAGTTGTGCCCTCTAGAGAGATGTTGCGTAGTTTATTTTTAGGTGAATGCCATGATGCAACATGACACTTCGGCTACTAGAAGACTAGTGCTAACTTGGTACAATGACTCTGGTGGCCTAACATGCTTGATGATGCAAAGACCAATGTCCAGACTTGCCAAGTCTGTGAGCAGGATAAACCGCGGACTCAAGGCTCGCTTGGGTTATTAAAGCCTTTACTCATTCCTATTGGTCCGGGACAGAGTGTTTCCATGGACTTCATGGATACCCTCATGACCAGCAAGAGTGGCAAGAGGAGTTCACTAAGTACGCTAGACTAATCGCCATGCATGAGACTGCTATTTATGGATAACTTGGTGCGTGACTTTGGTCTTCCAAAGACGATTGTTAGTGATGGAGATGTCCGGTTCACCAGCGAGATGTGGAAAAAGGTTGCTGAACAGATGGGCAGCCAGCTCCAAACGACTTCTGGGAATCATCTTGAAGCCAATGGGCAGGTTGAAGCCAGTGGTGCAGCATCTGCTGAGGCACAATATCCAGCCCAACCAGGATGAGTGGGGTGAGAAACTACCTCTCATCGCCAGCCTGTACAATAATGCTGTGCATAGCACCACCGACGCCAGTCCTAATCAGCTGCATGTGGGGTGGAAGCCTAGATCTGGTCTAGACTTCCTCATGCCTGAAAATCGAACTGTTGCACCTCCTAGAACCATTGAATTTGGTGTCCAGTATGATAAATTGTTGAGCACATCAAGGAATCTCAGGAAACAATGATTGCTTATGAGAACAAGCATCGCCGACAGTCCATATTTCAGGTAGGGGAACGTGTTTGGGTCAAGGCTAGTGAGTTGGGACAAGAGTTCGGCATCTCTAGAAAACTAATGCCTCAGTATTTCGGTCCCTGCGAAGTCTTAGATATTGTGGGTAGTGATTTGGATGGTCCCTCGTACGTGATTCGTATCCCTGGGCACCTACGCACTTACCCTGTGTTTCACGCCTCAAAGCTTGCACCTTTCGCTGAGACAGAACAGTTCCCATCAAGGAGATCTATGCTGCCCCCAACCATGGATGACCACGTGGACGTGGACGATATCTTGCACAGAGACATGCATGTTCCCAAGCCAGTCGGCAGGGGTAGACGGCCTACACCTGTGAGAGAGTACAGAGTACGGTTCAAGCATCGTATTGATACCAAGGAAGATCGATAGAACTGTTTATTTTTCCTGGTGCTTCTGTTTGCGGACTAGTCAGACTAAAATTAGTTTCGTTTGTAGGAATCTGGACTTACCTATTAGAACCCGAATGTATCTGCTTCGGATTGACCACCAATTAATTATTTATTTATTTTACATTGGTCTGTGCACTCTGTTGCGGTAGGCATCTTGAGTGACCTAGTGTAGACAGTGCACAATGCTGTAGCATATGAGCGACGAGGAGGACACTAGAGAAGACGACCGGATCTTGCGATCGGCGAGGCGCCCAGTAGCCCATTTGGCATTAGGACCAGAGGGTGACAGACATTTGTTCCGCCAGCTTAGGGAGAGGCAGCAGCAGCAGAGGAGAGCTAGAGCAGCCGAGGCCAGCAAGACTTTAGCTAGCGAGGTCGGTGCTACAGCAGCCATGGCTACTTCTGCCATGGTCACTTCTGCGCAGCAGACTTCCCAAGCAAGCAGTTCAGGTGCCGTCGGGTCAACGGTCGCGCAGACCGTGAGTCAGTCCAGTGGCGTAATGGCAAGCCAGACGTTAGTGTTGACTCCAGAGGATGTCGCCATCCAGCAGGCTGCCCTGCAGGAGGCACAACTACAGCGGGCATTAGGAGAGAGAAAAGTGGAGAAGGAGAAGATGATCAGAAGAAGAGCCAGGATGCAGCGGAGAGGGGCAGGCATAAAGGAGTTAGAGACGATGGACCTGACGAACATGGATGATGATGTGAAGGTAGTTAGGAGGGACCTGCTAAGCGTAATAGAGATGCAGGAGCATCAAACTACCATCCTTCAGGATATCCAACATAGCCTAGCCGTTTTGGCAGGCAGTGCTTAGGCAGCACCATCACCAGCCGGGCCTGGTGCCTGGCCCGTGCCATATCCTCCTTTTTCTGTCCCACTGGTGACAAGGGTATCCCCATATGTAGCCCCATCATCGGTTGCTATCGTTTCCTTGGGCATGCCGCTTTCAGGAGGGGTAACAGCAGGGGGTAGTTTGCAGGTTCCTGTACAAACAGTATACACCCAAACTTCGTCGCAGGTTGCAGTCACCACGCAACCTGTTGTCTCGTAGCCTGTGCAACCTCAGGGCACGCAGCCCCAGCAGCTAGCACAGCAACCTGTGTCACTGGGTCCACAGCCCGGAGTGGTGCAGGGACCGGGACAAACTCAGTGGGTTCCGAAGACGGCCATCGCCGCTCCCAAACCTTTTACAGGGGATAAGAGGGGCGAAGACCTTGACACGTGGTTGAGGGCAGTGCCGGTCTACGTCAGGTGTAAACTCACCTTGCCGCACGAAGAAGTGCTTGTGGCTGCTTCCTACCTAGAGGGTAGTGCAGCAAGATGGTTGAGTGGTTTAGTACAACTCCAGGGATATGGTCATGACTTTCGTGCTTGGGCGGCCTCCCAGAAATTGGAGGACCTCCTGAAGATGGTGGAAGAAAGATGGCATGATCCTCAGGAGGCCCCTGACGATGCACACAAGGCAGTTTAAGTCAGTAAGGGAAGCCACCGACGCTGTTGAGCGTCTGATCTGTGTCCCAGGGGTGCGCTATGACCCTCAGGTCCTGCTGACTTCGTACTTATGATGCTTTTTTCAGCCTCTCAGGAACCAGTTGGCAAAAGAGGCCAATATCACGGCGGAGGCTCCCGGTCTAGAAGTCAAGTCGACCCCAACGCTCCCCCATGGGAGAAAGTGGGTCTTCCAGAGGACGTGTGGAGAGACCGTTACTCACGGCAGGCCTGTATTCGGTGTGGTCAATATGGACACAGCCAATTCAAGTGCCGCAATAAGAAAGTGTCAGAAAAGATCTCGCCTACGATGGGGCAGGTGCTGGGATCCTCTCATCCCGTTGGTAGCAACGTTGCCAGTACTTCAGGCAGTGCTCCGGGAAACAGATCGGGCCAGTAGGAATAGTAGCTGTTCTTGCTAGGGTCAAGGTGGTGGAGACACCCTCACCATCTCGAGAGATGGCCCAAGCTACTGACTCCAACATCGTCCGGCAAACACGTTCAGACCCATCGAGCCTCTGTTCGATGAATGTGTTTGAGTCCTTAGAGGAGCTAGAGGTGGAGTGGTCTAGATCAGACCCTCTAGCTTCTTGGACGGCACTAGTCAAAGCCCCGAAGGGTGAGATGTTCGCCAGCGAGGTAGTCATTGGTGGCTGCAAGGCCGGGGCCTATTATGACACTTGCTCGACTAGGAACTTTATCAGTCGTGCGTGCGCTGAGAGGCTGCGTTTACAGGGGCGAGTGCAGCACCTGAGTCGACCTGTGGAGTCGACCTGTGCTAACAAACAGCGCATGGTAGTCAACGACTACCTCCAGGATGTTGAGTGTTGTTTCTCGTACGCGGGAGGGGACTTGAGACATCGTGTCTCGTTCCTAGTAAGTGACGAGCTCCCGATGGATATGCTACTAGGTATGTACTACCTCTCTGTGGCACAACCCCAATTTGACTGGGACCAAAAAGTGGTCAAACACACTTTGCCAGGTGGAGGGACCGCCAGATTACATAAGTTAAAAGCTAGTAGTCTGATTGGGTCCTATGGGTGCATGTGTGCGGCCGCGTTCTACAATCATTATAAGCAAAATCAGGAGGAGGGTATGTATTTAGTTTATGTCTCTGCTGCAGGCGAGCCGGCGAAAATGCCGCCGAAGATAGAGGGAGTAGTTGCTAAGTACCCTGATCTCTTTGAAGAGCCGATAGGGGTTGTTGAGAGGGAGGTCGTCCACGCGATAGAGATTATCCCAGGGTCTAGTATTCCGAAGGGTAGGATCTATCGGATGTCTCCAGGAAAGCTTGATGAGCTTCGCCGCCAACTCAAGGAACTCGTAGAGAAGGGTTGGATCCGGCCGAGTGTCTCTCCTTACGGGTCTCCAGTTCTAATCGTACCTCAGAAGAAGGAGGGTACTTTTAGGATGTGCATTGACTATAGGGGCCTCAATGCCATCACTGTAAAGAATAGAGAGCCCCTACCGCGCATCGAAGATCTGTTAGATAGAGTGCAAGGGTGTCGGTACTTCAGTAAGATAGATCTGAAGTCCGGGTACCATCAGATTGCAATCCGGCCCGAGGAGCAGCACAAAACCGCTTTCCAAACCAGGAAGGGTATGAGTTTGTGGTGATGCCTTTTGGCCTTTGCAATGCTCCTGGCACCTTTCAGCACGCTATGAATCGGATATTCCATGACTACTTAGATAAGTTTGTCATCGTGTACCTCGATGACATACTTATTTTTAGTAAGAGTGTCGAGGAGCACGTTGCACATTTAGACAAAGTCCTCAGTCTCCCGCGACAGCACAAGTTCAAGATCAACGGTGAGAAGTGCGAGTTTGGCCGCACCCGTGTCTTGTACTTGGGTCATGAGATTTCCGCAGATCTTTCTTGGGAATGACAGGCTACTATAGGACTTTCGTTAAGAACTATAGCATAGTGGTCGCTCCTTTGACTGATCTGACCCGCCTTGACAACCCATGGGAGTGGACAGATGAGTGCAAGGCTGCTTTCAGACATCTGAAGCATGCGTTGACGCACTACGAGGTCTTGAAACTTCCTGATCCTGACAAGCCATTCATAGTCACCACGGATGCCAGCCAATACGACATTGGCGCCGTGCTCGCGCAGCAGGAGGGGCCAAAGTTGAGGCCAGTCGAGTACACGTTGAAAAAGATGTCATCTCAGAAGTTAGCACAATCCACCTACGAGAAGGAACTCTACGCCGTGTACAAGGCTCTGACCCATTGGAGACACTATCTCCTTGGGAGATTCTTCATCCTCAGGACTGATCATCAGACCCTGAGATGGATGAGAACTCAGCCCGTACTTTCTGACGCTCTGAAGCGTTGGATTGAGGTCATTGAGCAGTATGACTTCGACCCCCAGGAGTACAACAAGGTGGCTGATGCCTTGTCTCGTAGACCTGACTTTTCAGGTGCGCTGATGACTGAGTTTGATCTCACGGACGATGTTACTCGCTCTTTGGTGGATGCCTATCGTGAGGACCAGTTCATGTCTGAGATCATACGCAGAGTCGAGGCGAAGGACAAGACGACTTCAGCCGAGTTTGAGTTGGGCAACGGCTTGCTGTTTCTTGAGAATGCCGGGAATAAACGGTTGTGTGTCCCGAATAGCGAGTCTTTGCGTAGTTTATTTTTAGGAGAATCTCATGATGCCACATGACATTTTGGCTTTAAGAAGACTGCAGCTTGTCTGTTGCAGCGGTTCTGGTGGCCGACGATGATGAGAGACGCGAAGTTGTACCGGTCTGTCAAAGAGACAAGCCACGCACTCAGGCTGCTCTTGGGCTCCTGAAGCCCCTTCGGATTCCGGAAAGGCCTGGTGAGAGCCTGTCCATGGACTTCATGGATACGCTGGTCACCAGCAAGAGTGGAATGCGCTACGTCTACGTTATTGTGGATATGTTTAGTAAGTTTTCTAAATTAGTTGCAATGCCTGAGACAGCGAAGACTGAGCATGTAATTAAGCTGTTCAAAGAGAACTGGGTTAGAGATTTGGATTGCCGAAGTCTATAGTCAGTGACCGCGATGTGCAATTCACAAGTGAATTGTGGAAAGCCGCAGCTGCAGAATAGGGAACGCAGCTGCAGATGACATTAGGAAACCATCCCGAGGCGAATGGACAAGCAGAACAGTTGAACCGCGCTGTACAACACCTGTTGAGGCATTATATTAAGCCAAATCAGGTAGACTGGGATGAGAAACTTGCTCTCATTGCCAGCCTGTACAATAACGCGGTCCACAGCGCGACGGGCGTGAGCCCGAATAGTCTGCTATTAACTTTTAAGCCTAGACTGCCCTTGGATTTCCTACTGCCTGACAACCAGCCTTCAGAGTTTGCTTATCGATATGAACAGCTGATGCAGCAGGCTGTTGAGCACATGCAAACACCACCGTCCATCTACGTTTCAGGTAGGGGAGAGAGTCTGGGTCAAGTCCTCAGAACTGGGACAGGAGCACGGGATCTCCCGCAAGCTCATGCCACAGTACTTTGGACCATGGGAAATCCTGGATGTCGTCGGGGATGAGCCAGACGGGCCTTCTTATGTTATCCGCATCCCGGGTCACTTACACACCTACCCTGTTTTTCACGCTTCCAAGTTAGCACCTTTCGAAGAAACTGATCAGTTTCCCTCGCGTCGTTCAATGCTGCCCCCAACCATGGATGGGGAAGTGGACATTGATGATATTGTGGACCACAGAGAGCTGCCTGTTCCAAGACCCACAGGCAGGGGACGTCCTCSGAAACCGAAGYTGCAGTAYCGTGTTCGGTTCCGGCATCACACTGATCCGAAGGAGGACCGATGGTTCACCAGGGAGGAACTGATGCAGACCGCTCCTCAAGTTGTAACGCAATACGAGAGATCTCCGCAGAAGGGAAAGTGCCCTATGATTGAAGATTGAGCTTCTCAGAGGACTGTTGAAGCTAAGGAGGAGGGAATGCGAGGCCACTGCTTCTAAGAGCCCCATAAGGCCCCATTTTTGCAGCCCATCGGCCGCCCTAAGTGAAGGCAGGCTCGACGAGGCCCTCAGGGCCCTTTTCTGGCCACCACGCAACTCAGGGAAATTCAGGCAGTTGCACAGCGCCAGTTGGTTGAGTGAACCCAGGCCCTGGGCCGCCTGTGTGAATGTATGTGAAGCAGGCCCTGGGCTGGATACGCGTACCGGGCCAAACACAGGCCGAAAGCAGTTGAGCACATGCAGCCACTTTAGGCCCAAGGCCTGCTCTCCTCGTGCTGGGCCTCAGGCTACCTGGGCGTACTGGAAGCTTCCTGGACTGGATGCAGGCAGGCCACTTGGATATAGGAAAGGGGCTGCCTCCTCATTCGGCATTCGGGTGCTGGCTGCATGCTGCGCAAGCGCTGCTGCTGTGCTATTTGCTGGCTGGCGCCTACGCTCTCACGGGCGAGCAGGGAAGGAGCACGCAGCCATAGCCGAGCTGGGCTGCTGTAAGCTGGGTGAGGCGCGGGGTGGTCCTTGGGTGCTAGTGGCATCTGTGAGTTGGGGAACGAGGTTGTGAGTGTAGCGCGAGACATACCTGGTGATGGAAGCGTGTGACATTGGTCGCCGTATGCTCGTACTTCGGGAATGCTGTTGACGTCATCTTTCGACTTCGTAGTATAGGCTAGATAGGATCTGCCACATGTAGTCTGGGCGCCGAGCGCCAGATAGGATATCAACTTCAGCATTGTCAATTATGAACTCTTTGTGTGTTCTTATTTGGTCAATCTCATGATGCAATTCTGTTGTTGGTTCGAGGTCAAGACTATCTGGACTCATATGTATGATGCTGTTTGATTGTTGAAGTTCGCTATTGCTCATCTTCCTTGCAACTTGCGCTGATTCGTTAAAATCTCTGAATTTTCGCAATTACTCAGTAGCTGAAGTTCGATTCTCCTTATTCCAGAAATTTTGAAATTTTTTTATTTTCTTTCTGCGTTAATCAGGTTCTTTTTACGTATTCACGCATTTAAGTAGTAATGGGAAATTTCGAGCTACATTGTTTTCGCTATTTCCCGTTATCTCAGAAATTCCGAAATACGTTTTCTAAATCTTGTTTGTTTTTGTGTGGCTATTTGTTTTTTTGTCACACATCTGCAAGGAAAATGAGCGATAGCGAACATCAGAAACCAAGCAGCACAAACGTTATAAAAAAGCAAAAACAAAAAAAGAAAACGAAAAACAAAAAAGAAACCAAGCAGCATCATACTCATGAGACCAGATAGTCATGACCTCGAACCAAAAGCAGAATTGCATCACGAGTTCCACCAAATAAGAGCACAGCAAGAGCTCATAATTGACAATGTTGGAATAGTCTCTTCATCATCAACAAAGAACCAATGTCGACATCCTATGTGGCGGTCTGCGCCCAGACTACAAATGGCAGATCCTATCTAGCCTGTCTATAATGCCGCTGGTGACGTCAACAGCTCCTTGCAGTACGAGCAGATCTTGGCCAATGCCGTTCGCCTCAAGCACCAGGTATCTCTCGTATCACTCACAACCTCGATCCCCCACTCACAGATGCCACGTGCACCCAAGGACCACCATGCGCCCCATCCAGCATAGTGCAGCACAGCTCGGCTATGGCTGCCTGCTCATCCAGCTCGCCCGTGAGCACGTGAGTGCTGGCCAGCGTTTAGCGCAGCAGCGCTTGTGCAGCATGCAGCCAGTGCCGGAATGCCGAATCTGGAGGCAGGCTCTTTCCTAAATGGAAGTGGCCTGCCTGCTGCGTGCGGCCAGGCTGCACTGGGCCCCAGCATAGAAGCTTCCGGTAGGCCCCCGTGAGGCAGAGCCTCAGACCCATCGCCTGTGGTGGTTACCCGTGCCCAACAGCCTGTGTTCCGTCCATGTTGCGTATCTGGCCCAGGGCCTGCCTCAGTTACATTTGATAAAGGCAGCCTGGGCCCGGGCGCTTTCAACCAACTGGCGCTGCGCAACTGCCTGAATTTTCCCCAGTTGCGTGGTAGTCCAAAATAGGCCTAGGTCGGGGCTGCCTTCACTTAGAGCGGCCGACCTTGCTGATAATAGGGCCCAGTAGAGCTTACCGAGGCCTTGTGCCTTGCACATTTTAGTGGTAACAGAAATTCCGAAATTCGTTATTTATATATTCATGGTTCTTCCGTTATTCCGAGATTGTGAAATTATTTCTTTATGGAAAATCTCTCTGCAATCAGACTCGTCTTCTTCTTCGTCCAGCATGCATGCAACAGATGAAAATCCACACTGGCGTCAGGCGCCCACACAAAGCTCAGAGATATTAAACCAAGAACACAGTTCAGATGCAAACTCGCTTCGAATTGGCTGTGGCGCCTGAGCGCCTACACAGCACCCTTCTTACACTGTATCCATGACTGTTCACACGCACACCACACTGGATGTGGCATACTGAGCAGCCACACGGGCGTGCAAGGCCAACCAGACGGAAATTCAGGGCCCTACAGGCCCTGTGTCATTTCAGCCTAAAAGCCTGAAAACAAGGGCCTACAGGCCCTGTGTCGTTTCAGCCTAAAAGCCTGAAAACGAGGGCCTACAGGCCCTGTGTCGTTTCAGCCTAAAAGCCTGAAAACGAGGGCCTACAGGTCCTGTGTCGTTTCAGCCTAAAAGCCTGAAAACGAGGGTCAGGCCCTCATAAAGTCGACCTGCCCTGAAACTTAGGCACCAGACCAGGGTTTTAGCACAGGCCATTTTGGGCCTGTTTTCAAGACAACCTTTGTTTGAACTTCAACGCCAGGGTCTGGCACGTTTTGGCATTGGCAAGAGCAGCCTCCTGGACGGGCCAGCACTATATAAGACTGGCCCGCCCTACAGGCTGCAGGTAGTCGCGAGGTAGTTCATAGGGACTTCCCAGGCACTTCACGTGCAGGAGGCAGGAGGCAGTCTTCAGGATTCGGCAGCAGCACTCTTGAGGAGCGCTCCAGTAGTAGTAGCGTTAGCAGTAGTCTTCAGCGCTGGGCGCTATTAGGAGCTAGAGTAGCGTTGGGGAGAGAGATTGTTCGCGGAGGCCAGGGAGACTTACCTGTGGCTCCATAGCTCCAGCTTCGTCTTCGATGTACCTGCAACAAGGTGCCACCTTCACAGGTTAGTACCGGACTCTGAGAGCGAGAGAGAGAGAGAGAGAGAGAGAGAGAGAGAGAGAGAGAGAGTTCTTTTTCTTCCTCTTCTAAGTCCATCTCTCCCTCACCCTCTCACTGCCTAACTTCTCAGTATCTGCAGACTACGAGAGAGAGAGAGAGAGATTGATGACTTTGGGGACTTGACCACATGTGGATTCAGACTCGACATTGGGATCGAGACATTGGACGAGGGATTATTTGGGGCCTGTATCGAAGACTTGGTGTTGACGACATTCCCATCTTGCCCCTCTTCTTCGTCTGACCCCCCCTTCCTCTTCATCTGTGCATGGTCTGGACCTGGCGCCTTCTTCCTGTGTGTAGCGTCAGGCCCTTCCCACCTTGCGATGATGATGATGTATGTTTGGTCTGCATTGCAACACTGATTGGTCTGATCATTGGTATTAGCACCAGACCCTTCCCACC